CAGAGTTTAGGGCTGTTGTACATAGGGTCGCTATGAGTCGCAAGCAACTAGATGACACATAACAACAAGAGTGTAATTAATTGCTGTCAATAAATCATACACCCGGGGACTCTGTTGGCCTAGTGGCAAGAAGCTGTGCTGCAATCCTGAAGGCGCACAGTTTGAATCCACCGGATGTTCTGCTGGAGAAGGAGAGGCAATCTCCTCCTATGCCGGTCGGATCCGATCCAGTGGTGCACAACAAGAAAAAAAAATAAAAGGGTCCTACACCTGTAACAAATGTTGGTGAGGATGTGGGGACCTTGGAACCCTTACCGTTCTGTGGGAATGAAAAATAGTACGGCCATTGTGGGAAATAGTACAACAGTTCCTTCAAAAACTAAAAATAGAATTATCATATGACCCACCAATGATTATAAAAAATTTGTTGTCTTAGGCTAGTTTCTCTAAACTAAACCAGTGAAATGCACAGAAACATACCTATAAGGAGCCCTGACGACCTAACGTCTTACATGCTGGTCAGAGGGTTGAATCCACTCGCTGCTCCGTTGGAGAGAGATGGGCGATCTCCCCCAATAAGCCTCAGAATCCCGACGGAGGGGGCCCGTGAGTCAGAAGTAACTTGACGGAATGGCTTTGTGCGTGGTGTTGACTGACCAGGCAAAGTCTTTCAATCGTCCGGCTAGCAATAAGCCATGGCTAATGGTGAGAGGAATAGGAATTCCAGGCCCCGGGAATTTCAGGTAATTGTGCTCCTGCGACATCTCTGCATTGACCAAGAAGGTGCACAACACATAAAACAGAGGGTAATTGGGGGAGCTCTGGTGGCCTAGTGGCAAGAAGCTGCACTGCAATCCCAGAGGAACACCGTTGGAATCCACCAGATGCTCTGCCGGAGAAGGAGGCGTAATATCCTCCTGTACCAGTCAGATCTGATTTGACGGTACACGCACACAAAATGATAACACAAAATGATAAAATGAAAAAAAAAAACCCACAAAAACAACAGAGGGTAATTACATGATGTCATAAAATGCAGGGCAAGACATGAGATGGCAGAACAGGGGCCAAGACGGTATTCTCAGTATTCATTCTCTAATACTGAGAACCCAGCCAGCTTGATACAGAATATTAACCAGGACACAATTTAACTGGCAAAAGGTTTGTAATAGAGAAATCTACAACAACAAAGCGTAACTGCACGGGATTTGATTTCTGGATTTGGAAGTTTGGGGGTCATGGTTTCATGAAAGGTTCCAGTTAATTGGCCTCATACTGTGTTTAGTGTGTGCGCTTTACCTCCGAGCTCCTAGCTCACTTAGTCCCTGAGCTCTTAAAAACCTGTAAGCAGCCGTTCAAGACACAACAGTTAGTCCGTGTGGCTTAGAGCAGCAGAGGAGACAGGGCCAGGGAGATGGGGAGTCTCCTCCTGTGTGATTTACAGCCTCGGCAACCTGCTGGAGAGACGGTTATGAGTCGGAACAACTTTCTGGAGCCAAGGGTGCTGGATGAACCCCTGAAACTACTGCCCTGTGGTAATTTTTAAACCTTAACCCAAAAATATCCCCTGAAGAAAATAATGGTTTAACCAGTTAAAAGGGGTTGGATTTTTTAAATTACTCTTTTATTTTCTTAATTTTTATTTTATGTGTGTGTGTGTGTGTGTGTACCATCAAATCGGATCTGACAGGTACAGGAAGAGATTGCCCCTCCTCCTCCAGCGGAGCATCTGGTGGATTTGAACTGCTCACCTCTGGGATTACAGTGCAGCTTCTTGCCACTAGGCCACCAGAGCTCCCTTAATTAGGCTCT